GTCCTCCACAACTAGACTGAAGAACAAAAGGACAGCAACTTGTCTGTTCCCCTTCCCCCAATTCTCCAGCGCTGTTCCCATCCCCCAATTCCCCAATAAAAATCTTTAAAAAAAAAAAATAGTAGCTTTACTGAGCTGTAATTCACATACGATAGATACAATTCACTCGTTTAAGGTGCATTCAGTAATATGTAGCATATTCAGAGTTGTGCAACTATCAAAATTTTAGACCATTTTCATCACTGCTCCCTCACCTCCACCCCACCACAAAAACCCTGTACACATTAGCAGTCACTCCCCTCTCCCCCAGCCCTAGGTAACCATTAATTTACTTTGTAGATTTACGTATGCATATAAATGGAATAATGTAATACGTGCTATTTTGTGATTGGCTTCTTTACTCAGCATAATGTTTTTAAGGTTCATACATGTAGTAGCATTCCTGTTTATGGCCGAACAATATTCCATTGTGTATACCATTTTATCCATTCATCATTGAAGGCCAATTGGGTTGGTTCCACCTTTGGACTATTATGGATAACGCTACCATGAACATTCATACACAAGTTTTCATTTAGATATATGTTTTCATTTCTTTTAAGTATATACATAGAAGTGCAATTGCTAGATCTTACAATAACTTTGTTTAACCTTTTGAAAACCTGCCCAGACTGTTTTCCGAAGCTGCTGCACCATTTTACAATCTCAACAGCAGTGTATAAGGGTTCAAATTTCTCCATATCCATGCCAATACTTGTTATTTGTCTTCTTGATTATAATTATCCTAGTGGGTTTGAAATGGTGTCTCTAGCATTTCCCCCATGGCTAATGTTGAGCATCTTTTCATGTAGTTATTGGTCATTTACATATCTTCTTTGGAGAAATGTCTATTCAGATCCTTTGCCCATTTTTAAATTGGATCGTTTGCCTTTTTATTATTGAGATGTAGTGAGAGACTTGGAAAGGAGGAATAATAAAATCTATCAGTTGAAGTCAGCTAAGCAAAAAGGGGGAAATAATTATTAGTTATTGGTATTTTACAGATTAGATAATGCCCAATGACAGTGAGTGGAGGAGCTAGGATTCAAGCGGTTTGATTCCAGAGGTCTAGCTCTTAGTCTTAACTAAGTGGACAGTGGTTTCCTGAACTCGTCTTCTAGCTTAGGTTTTTGCCCGCAATTCTCCTAAATTACTATTACCTTCCATTAAGCTCTACCTCTTGCCAGCCCTGCGTTCCTTGCCGAACTTCCTCGGAGGTGCCGACAGATGGCGATGGGGCCCCACGGGCCGCTCTGTCCGGCGCCTGCACGTCGGTGGTGCCAGGCCACAGGTGCCGCCACTGCACTTCCGGGCGCTGTTCAAGGTGAGCCAGGGCCTCAGAACCCCCTCACAATACCCTCTCCCCGAAGTAAGGGAGCTACTATCCCCCAGCTCACAGCCTTGCGTGCCCAGTACCGGGATCAGGGTGTCCAGACGGAGGCCGGGTAGCCACCGGAGGAGGCAGAACCTTCCAGACGACTGGGTCCCAGCGAGGCCCAAACGCCTCTAGACCCCACGCCTCTGCGGTGCTGCGCGGGGGAGGTCGCACGTCGGTCTACTGGCGATCCTGGCTGTTTGGAAGCGGAGTGTGACTCCTCCCCTTCGTCCCTTCGGTCTGCGTCTGGCGGCGCCAGCAACCCGGCCCGCAGGGTTTCTCTACGGCTGCGAGCCCTGGCCACCCCACGGGTGTTGAAATTGGCGGGGAAAGAGGCGAAGAAACAGGATATCAGAGAGCATTCCGTCACTTGGAATAAGTTTCTCTCGTGGATTGTGTTTTTCATCATTAGGATCTCCTGGAGTACTTGTGCAAATTCCTATGCTCCACCCCAAAAGATCCTGATTCAGTAGATCTGGGGTAGGGCCTGGAAATCAGCATTTTTAATAGCCATTCCGGGTTGGTGCTCATAGTCTACAGATTTCACTTTCGAAACACTGGTATAACTGATGGGAGAGGAACGTTGTATTGGCTTGACTATGGAACTGTTTATCTTCAGGAAGGTTTCCAAGAGGAAGTGATTCTAGCTGGGCTTTGTATTGAGGCACCAGCATATCCACTGGTTCTTTGCCCCACAGTGATGAATTCCCTCCCCTGCCACCACCAGGATGCAGAAGATCTCAGTGCTGCTCTTCCTGGTCTGGGTCTGCTTCCTCTTCTACGCGGGCATTGCCCTCTTCACCAGTGGCTTCCTGCTCACCCGTTTGGAGCTCACCAATCGTAGCAGCTGCCAAGAGCCCCCAGGCCCTGGGTCCCTGCCATGGGGGAGCCGAGGGGAGCCTGGGGCCTGCTGGATGCCTTCCCGATTCTCTCGGGTTGTGTTGGTGCTGATAGATGCTCTGCGTTTTGACTTCGTCCAGCCACAGCACTCATATGTTCCTGGGGAGCCTTCTGTCCCTCTGCCCTTCCGGGGCAAACTGGGCTCCTTGCGGAGGATCCTCGAGATTCAGCCCCACCATGCCAGGCTCTACCAATCTAAGGCTGATCCCCCCACCACTACCATGCAGCGCCTTAAGGCCCTCACCACTGGCTCACTACCTACCTTTATCGATGCTGGCAGTAACTTTGCCAGCTACGCCATAGTGGAAGACAATCTCATTAAGCAGTTCACCAGTGCAGGTCAGTCTGGGCTTCTTTGGAGGCCAGAAGTACTTTGGCAAATTCTTTAGAAGTCAGAGAGCCAGAACTTTGGGTATCCAGCTGCATGCTTGACTATACTGTGGGAGTACAGAGAACGAGACTAGGCCACTGCACGCAGGGAGCACAGGTCTAGGCTTAGTCCTAGAATTTCTAATCTGCATGGAGTATTGGTTTTACTTTTGGGGCATTCTCAGTAAAGGGGCAGGAGAGAGATGAAGAGGAGAAGATGTAGGTCTGGATACCCTCTTAGGTGTGGAGTAGAAAGCAGAGGGTCAGGCCCTGTCCACCAATTTGAAAAATGTAAGATACACCCAGGAAAAACAGCAGCAGAGATAACCAGAGACTGAGAACTAGAAGAGCCTTTTGTAGGAACAAGGAGTGAGAGGTCTGAGTGGAGTATAGTTATCGAGGGAAGCTTCCTGGCAGAACATTTTAGACCTTGAAGAATAAAGAATTGCTGGATGGAATTTCTGTGCCTTAGAATGCACAGTTGGGATTTCTGATGGGTGTTTAAAGGGCCTCCTCTCCTCTTTTCCCCTGCCCTAACTCCTGCACAGGTTGTGACCCCTCTCATGTCCCTACAGGAAGGCGTGTGGTCTTCATGGGAGATGATACCTGGAAAGATCTTTTTCCTGGAGCTTTCTCCCAAGCTTTCTTCTTCCCATCCTTCAATGTCAGAGACCTACATACAGTGGACAATGGCATCCTGGAACACCTCTACCCAACCAGTGAGCATGGGGCCAGAGGCAGGCCTGACTAAGACTGGGAGCTGGGAAGGGCTGCTTCAGTCCATAAATTCTGAGCCTCCCATGGGTGCAGTGGCCTGGGCTTGTGTCCCTGGACATAGGAGCATCAGAGCCTGGCTGGGTTTGAGGAGTGGGCCTTAGTCCCCTATGCTCAGTGTTCTCCCCTTCACAGTGGACAATGGTGAATGGGACGTGCTGATTGCTCACTTCCTGGGTGTGGATCACTGTGGCCACAAGCATGGCCCTCACCACCCTGAAATGGCCAAGAAACTTAGCCAAATGGACCAGGTGATCCAGTGAGTGTGGGATATTGGCTGGGGGATTGGGTTTGTGTCTGAGAATCTCAGGATATATGGTCCCAAGAAAAACAGTCCTTACCTTGGAGCCTCTTTCCTGGATGAATTCTGTCTCCTCTAGGCCTTTTTCTGAAGCTAGAGGCCTCATCCATCTTGAGTAGCTCAGTGTGTGGCTTTGGGTGGTAAGATTATTACTGAAGAGGTATCTCTCTGCCAAAAATCTAGGCCCTACTATGGCTGGGGGGTGACTGGGCCCCTGAGAAAAGTCTTTATCCATCCCTACCCCCTGACACATTGCTTGGTCCCCAGGGGAGTTATGGAGCGTCTGGAGAATGATACACTGCTGGTGGTGATTGGGGACCATGGGATGACCAAGAATGGAGACCATGGAGGGGACAGTGAGCTAGAGATCTCGACTGCACTTTTTCTGTACAGTCCCACAGCCCTCTTCCCCAGGGCCCCACCAGAGGTGAGGCCTGAGGTATGCTTTGTCTTGTCTCCAGGTATTCAGCCTGCATCATGATCACGGCATCCTTATGGAACCCTGTATTTTAGGCCCCCAAATTCATGACCCTTTGACATTCCCCACTCTGATTTCCTACCTACACCCTTATGTCTTCTATTCCAAACACTGACTTCAACTCTGTGGTGAACCTATTGACCCCTGTCTTTGCCCTCTAGGAGCCAGAGGTAGTTCCTCAAATCAGCCTTGTGCCTACACTGGCCCTGCTGTTGGGCCTGCCCATCCCATTTGGGAACATCGGGGAGGTGATAGCTGAGCTGTTCTCAGAGGTCGAAGACTCCCAACCTCACTCCTCAGCTCTGGCCCAAGCCTCAGCTCTCCACCTCAATGCCCAGCAGGTAGGTAATGGGCTGGACTTCCAGGTGACAGAGATAGAGTGCGCAGGGAGAAGCATAATGATGCACTCTTGTCCTTTGTTCAGTCTTAACTCCGCCTTCCATAGCCATGTTCTCCTTCCATTATCCCTCCCTTCTCCCCTATCCTGGACAGAGTTTGGGTCCCTGATTTCTAGGTATCCCCTTTTGTAATACCTGCCCTTGCCTCTGTCCCAATTTATATCTGACCTGTTCCTCTTGGCCTCTTAACCTTTTATGCCAGGTGTCCCGATTTCTTCACACCTACTCGGCTGCTGCTCAGGACCTCCAAGTTAAGGAGCTTCATCGGCTGCATAACCTCTTCTCCAAGGCCTCTGCTGACTACCAACGGCTTCTGCAGAGCCCCCAGGGGGCCAAGGCAGCACTACAGACTGTGATTACTGAGCTGCAGCAGTTCCTGCGGGGAGTTCGGACCATGTGCATTGAGTCTTGGGCTCGTTTCTCTCTGGTCCGCATGGCAGGGGGTGCTGCTCTTTTGGCTGCTGCCTGCTTTCTCTGCCTGTTGGTATCCCAGTGGGCTACATCCCCAGGCTTCTACCTCCATCTTCTCCTAGTACCCGTGGCCTGGTGTCTGGCTGGGGTCGCAGTGTGTGCCGGACTCCTGGCATATGCTGGGCTGAAGCTGGATCCAGTGGTTCTAGGGGCCATGGCTGCAGTGGGCTCACTTCTGCCTTTTCTGTGGAAAGCCTGGGCTGGTTGGGGGTCCAAGAGGCCCCTGGCAGCCCTGCTTCCCAACCCGGGGCCTGTCCTATTACTCCTGCTCATTCGCTTTGCTGCTTTATTCTCTGACAGCTTTGTTGTAGCTGAGGCCAGGGCCACCTGCTTCCTTTTGGGCTCATTCATCTTGCTCCTGGTTGCCCAGCTTCATTGGGAGGGCAAGCTGCTGCCACCTAAGCTATTCACAACACCCCGCCTTGGCTTTTCAGCCCCAACAAGCCCCCCACGGCACAGTGGCATGCATGCCCTGGGGCTAGGTGTTGGGTTACTTTTATGTATAAGGCTAGCTGGGCTTTTTCATCGCTGCCCTGAAGAGACACCTGCTTGCCACTCCTCTCCCTGGCTGAGTCCCCTGGCATCCCTTGTGGGTGGTCGAGTCAAGAATTTGTGGTATGGAGCTTGTGTGGGGGCTCTGGTGGCCCTGTTAGCTGTTGTGCGCCTGTGGCTTCGTCGCTATGCTAATCTCAAGAGCCCTGAGCCTTCTGTCCTCTTCGTGCGCTGGGGGCTGCCCCTAATGGTACTAGGCACTGCTGCCTACTGGGCATTGGCATCAGGGGTAGATGAAGCACCCCCACGTCTTCGGGCCCTGGTTGCTGGTGCATCAGTTGTGCTGCCTAGGGCTGTGGCAGGGTTGGCTGCTTCAGGGCTCATGCTTTTGCTTTGGAGGCCTGTGACAGTGCTGGCGAAGGCTACAATAGGTGCTCCAAGGACCAGGACTGTCCTCACTCCTTTCTCAGGCCCCCCCACTTCTCAGGCTGACCTGGATTATGTGGTTCCTCAAATCTACCGACATATGCAGGAGGAGTTCCGGGGCCGGCTGGAGAGAACCAAATCGCAGGGCTCCCTGACTGTGGCTGCCTATCAGTTGGGGAGCGTCTACTCAGCTGCTATGGTCATGGCCCTCACCCTCTTGGCCTTCCCACTTCTGCTGTTGCACGCAGAGCGCATTAGCCTTGTGTTCCTGCTTCTGTTTTTGCAGAGCTTCCTTCTCCTGCATCTGCTTGCTGTTGGGATGCCCATCACCACCTCTGGTAAATACATATCTCAGCCCTGATTCATCTAAGGACATTTGGGGTGTGAGTTTGGCCCCTCTTGTTTTCAGGGAGGTGTTGCTCCTCAGGTTCTTCACGCTGACACGGTCTCATGCCCCACACAGTTGGCAGGGTCTTTCTGATGTCCTCTCTCTTATCTGCTATAACCAAGCTAATTGACCCCTCCCACTGGATCCAGGGCTAGCAAGGTTCATGGAGGAGGGAGACAAGGAATACTCCAAGATGCATTTCTTAAGGAAATACTGCATCCTCATGAGTGCATTTTCTGATTTTCGAGTCATGAAGTGGTAAATTAGGAGTATATAATATCAGTGAGTTGTGTGTATCTGAGAGAGTGACCACAGTAGGGTTCAGATTAGAATAATGGAGCTTTGTGCCACAGAGGGAATTAAGAGTACTGACTAGGAGGTTGGAGTGATGGGCGTATGTGTGTATGAGAATTAGCACTGAAGTAGTAGGATTGTATGATCATGGGGTAGTAGGCTATGGATTAGAGAATGGGATATGACTGTAAAGAGGCATATCTCTTCCCCCAGGTCCTTTTACTGTGCCATGGCAGTCAGTCTCTGCTTGGGCCCTCATGGCCACACAGACCTTCTACTCCACGGGCCACCAGCCTGTCTTTCCAGCCATCCATTGGCACGCAGCCTTTGTGGGATTCCCAGAGGGTCATGGCTCCTCCACCTGGCTGCCTGCTTTGCTGGTGGGAGCCAACACCTTTGCCTCCCACCTCCTCTTTGCAGGTATTTCCTCATTCCTCCATTGCTTCCATTGTTTACTCTGGCTTTGTAGAAGGAAAGGAAACCCCTGGATTTGAGTGGGGAGATGTGATTTTGTTGGATCTTCAGCATCCTTTGGCTTGTGCTAATTGGAGGCTGAGCCAACCACAGTGGTTGGGGGACAGGGTGGCCTGGTCCCTGGGTCCTCCATTAATTCTGGCCCTGCCTTCCTCTGAGGCAGTAGGTTGCCCATTGCTCCTGCTCTGGCCCTTCCTGTGTGAGAGTCAAGGGTCCCGGAAGAGGCGGCAGCCCCCAGGAAATGAATCTGAGGCCAGAGTCAGGCCTGAAGAGGAGGAGGAGCCACTGATGGAGATGCGGCTCCGGGATGCACCTCACCATTTCAATGTAGCACTGCTGCAGCTGGGCCTCAAGTACCTCTTTGTCCTTGGTATTCAGGTGGGTGTAGGGGAGAGATCACGGAGTTAGTTACCTTTTCTCATGTGTGTACATCACATTCTTTCTTTCATTCTTTGCCAGAACCCTAGGAGAGAGCCTTGACTGAGGTAAAGACAAGTGAAGTGGTTGCCCAAGGCCAGTGGCCTCAAATGGCAGTATTGAAACTTGAACCTAGGTCTCCTTAATCCTAGTCTTAGATTGATTCCTCTCTACAAGCTAGATCTGGAACCTGCTGGTTTTGTTTGGGGATTACTCCATCGGTGTTCAGACTGAAAAAGCTGAGGCGATGGCCAGGATTCTTTCCCAAGCTGTAGTCATGGATCTTCCTCCTTTCCTTCAGAGACAGGTGTGACTATGACATCTTCCTCTGCCCTGGGAGGCAGAGGCTAAGTGTTAGCGGCACAGATGGATAGTGCTTGCCCAAAGTCACACAGTGAGTCATGGTGAGGCCAGGAAAAAAATTAGGTCTCCTAAGTGGTTGTCCAAGCCCAGGGTTTTTTCTACTGACAAACACTACTTTCCTACTCCCCAGTATTCACAGGAGCCTACAGCACCTCTCTCTCTGACCTGCTTCCTCCTTCCCTTCCCAAGTAACTTGACTTCTCTCCTTCCTTAGATTCTGGCCTGTGCCTTGGCAGCCTCCATCCTTCGCAGGCATCTCATGGTCTGGAAGGTGTTTGCTCCCAAGTGAGTGGATTTGCTTGAGAAGTAGAGGTGTTGAGGAGGGTGAAGCTTGGAGCAAAGAATGAATATCTAGGGTGGACAAGGTTTTGCCTCAGCAGGGAAAAGGCTTGAGACCAACTCTCAGTGTCCCCTATATTCTCCACCTTTCTTTGCAGGTTCATTTTTGAGGCCATGGGCTTCATTGTGAGCAGCGTGGGACTTTTCCTGGGCCTAGCTTTGGTGATGCGAGTGGATGGTGCAGTTAGTTCCTGGTTCCGGCAGCTAGTTCTTGCCCAGCAGAGGTAGCCTAGGCTGTGGATGCCGGCGCCTGGCCATGGGGAGACCTGGAGAACAATCTAGTCTGGCCTGTACGGGTGCTGGATCATCTGCAAGAAAGGCTCAGCCACACCTCTTACCACCATGCTGCAGGAGCTACTAGCATCTGGGACTTCATTATTTTATAATTAAAACTCACAGTGTGGCCTGATCCCTAACTCTTGCTTTGGATGTATCTGAGGGACTGGGGGTTAGTCTCCAAAGTAGAATAATAAATATGTGTGTCTGAGATGTGGGGGAGCCCCCACTGTCCAATAGGAGCTAATGGAGGGTCAGTCTCCCTACCGGGCACAGATGGGATCAGCCATCTTCTGCAAACCTGGCTACACCTGAAAACCTTTGGGAAGTGGTTGGAGGTGTGTGAATTCGCTTCCCCCAGCTCTTCCCAAATCACTCCTATTATCCCACCTGCCATTTTCCTTTGCCATGTAGCATGTTAAATTCTTATGCTTTGACTATTAACAGAGACAGCTGAAAAGACAAGCCCAGGCATCTTGGAGCACACAGACTTGCACTGTCTAAATCCCCAGTAGGACTGTGTCTCCTCCTCTACTGTGTCCTTTCACTCCAGCACACACTTTGCCCTTCACTTCTGTGGAGGCCTCCCTAGTTTTTCAACCTATGTTGCCTTTTATCAGACCTACTTGCCCAACATAAAGCATTCCACCTTATCCCATTGATTATTCATGACTGAAGCCAAAACTGTATGAATCCAATGATCCTTATGCATGTCTCCTGTGCCCTCTGTTCATTTCACTACTGTGTCATATGGAAGTGCTAGCATGAAATCCCTGTGGAAATGTCCGTCAAAGGAGTGGGGAAGAGGCTCTGAGAAGGATCGGGACTGGAGCTTGAGGTTTGAGAGTACTCGGGACGGGAGATGAGACTACTGAAAGAACAGATGTAAAAATTGTGGAACAACACCTACCTTTATTTGGCAAGAGGAAAATGAGAAGCTGAGTAGCAGTGATGGAGAAGTAAAGGCATTCATTGTTGTGGTAGCTAAAGGAAGAGTTCTAATTATTATTTTATTAGTTTCAGGTGTATAAAACAATACTAGACATTTACACCCCTCGCAAAGTGCTAACCTCCCCTCCCCCAATCTCCTACCCCTCTGGAGTTCTAATTATTAATGGCCAACAGTCCCTAGTGCTACTGAGGTCAAATAGAAAGATGATGAAAGTGTGTACTGTCTCGGGCAATTAGAGGATAGGACATTAGTGACTGGCAGGAATAGGTTTAATAATGCAAAGGGGAAGTTAGGCCCCACCTTGCCTGTAAGAAGAATTAGAAAAAAGCTCCTTTCTCAATCTGGTAGACACAAATTCCAAGCATCATTTAGTGAGCAGACAGTGCCTTTGTGAGAAGAAAAAGACCCTTTCTCCATCTGTAGCAACCATTGGAAGGATTTCAGACCCCAGTCCATCACCCTGTCCTTAGGACCATTCCCCCCCACCACCACCACCGCTGCTTTTTCTGTGCAGGAACCCCTTTCCCTGGAGCCTAAGGATAATCTACTGATCTGTCAACCACTGTTTCCTTTCCTCCTGATCTATCTACAAGATTCTTTTAGAAAAAGATATGTTAGCACATTGATTTACACTACTAAAAATTCTTAACCCTGCCTTTTGACATCAAAGAGCCCATTCCATACTAACTCATGGTTTCTTTTTTTTTTTAAAGAGCTTTACAACTCACCATAAAATTCACCCATTTAAAGTGTATAATTCAATGATTGTTAATATATTCAGAGTTGTACAACCATTACCACAATCAATCTTAACATTTCATCAACCCATAAAGAAACTAGACACTTTCCTATCACTCCCCACCTGCACCCCTAATCCTAGGCAACCACTAATCCATTATCTGACTACATTAGCCTATTCTGGGCATTTCATAGAAATGGGATCACATAATGCATGGTCTTTTGTGACTGGCTTCTTTCAGTCAGCATAGTATTTTTGAGGTTCATCCATATAGTAGCACGGATAGTACTTCATTCTTTTTTTAAATTGAGGTGAAATTCACATAATAAAATAAACCATTTTAAAGTGTACAATCCATTTAGTACATTTACAGTGTACAACCATCACCACTATTACCAGAACATTTCCATCACCCCCAAAAGAAATCACCCATTAGCAGTCACTCCCTAACCCCTTTTGGCCCTAGCCTCTGACAGCCACAAATCTGTTTTCTGTTTCTATGGATTTACCTATTCTGGATATTTCATATATATGGAATCACATATGTGGCCTTTTTTGTCGCTTATTTCAGCCTAATGTTTTCAAGGTTCTTCATGTTGCATGTATTAGTACTTTCTTTTTTTTTTTTTAAAGATTTTTATTGGGGAATTGGGGGGATGGGAACAGCGCTGGGGAATTGGGGGAAGGGGAACAGACAAGTTGCTGGGAACAGCGCTGGGGAATTGGGGGAAGGGGAACAGACAAGTTGCTGGGAACAGCGCTGGGGAATTGGGGGAAGGGGAACAGACAAGTTGCTGTCGTTTTGTTCTTCAAT